GGGAGATTAGGGGTACGGGGACCAGTTCCCGCCCAAAAACGGATTTGCCCTGGGGGTTTTTTTCCACCACACCCTTGCCTTCATGTTGGGGGACAGGAGGGGGGGGCCACGGGCCGCCGCTTTTTTGGAGGGGGGGGGTTTTGCCCTCGCGGAGGGATTCTTGGACTTTTTTGGGGGTACCACGCCCCCGCGCGGGGGCGCGCCCGAATTGAGGCAGGGGATGGGGCCCCCCCCCCCCCCCGGGGGGGGGGGGCCGTTCCCGGCCGCAGTTTCCGCGCCCGCCGGGTCTTGCACCCTTTTTCCTTGGGGGGGAGCCCCCTTAAGGGGGGGGGGCGACGGGGGGGGGGGGGGAACCGGGGGGGGGGGGGGACCCGGCGCGGAGGGGGACCCCGACGAGGGGGGGGCCTTTGCGCGCACGTTTGGGGAGGGTTTTTTGGGGGCATTTGGGCTCGCCTTTTCCTGGGAGGAAAACTGTCACTTGGGGGGGGGGGGGCTTTTTTCAGGGCTCGCTGCCGAGGGGCCCCCGAGGGGGGGGCCGCGCCCCGCCCCACGCCGCCCGGGGGCGGTTACCCCCCCCCCCCCCCTGGTGCCCCGCCCCGTTAACGCCCCCCCCCCCCCCCTGCCCCGCCACCGCGAGCAGGAGCCGTGGGACGATCACCGGCCGCGAGGGGCTGCGAGCGCGCCGGCTGGCCCCGCGGGGGGGCGCAGCAGCCGCGGGGCCACCGTTGGCGAGCGGCGGGCGGCGGGCGGCGCCACGCGCGAGGCTGCGCTGCTTTGGATGCTGCAGGCGTTGCTGCGGCAGTTTGCACCGCACGACGTCTCGCCCGCGCAGTTCGAGGAGCTCGCGCCCCTCGTGATCGCCGCGTTCCACTCTCGCCGCGCGGCCGTCTCGGCCGCGGCGGAGGCGCTGCTCGGCGAGATGGTGGGGCGCGCGCCGCGAGGCACGCCGCCCGCCATCTTCTGCCTCACCGCCGCCAGGCCCTCGCCGGCACCGCCTCCGTGGGACGGTCCGCTTGTCGCGCCCGCCGCCACCGACGGCCGCGCCTCTCTGCTCGCCGCGGCGGCGCTGCTGCAGGAGCACGCCCTCGGCGTCTCGCTCGCCGACGGCCCGCCGCCGCCGCCCGAGGCGGCGAGGCCAGCCGCCGCCGCGCTGGCGCAGCTGCCCGCTGCGCCTCTGCCCGAGGTGCCCCTCGCGCCGGAGACGGAGTCGGAGGCAGAGTCGTCCGAGCCGCCCGGTGACTCACCGACCCCCGCGCCCCCCCTCCCCTCCCCGCCGCCGCCACCCCGCCACCCCCTCCCGCCCCGCTCCCAAGCGCTCCCGGTCTCGCTCTCTGTCCTCAGCCCCGCTGCCCTCGCCCCGCGCGCAGGTACCCCCTCCGAGACGCTGCCTTCCACCCCCGCCTCCATCCCCGCCCCCAACCCCTCGTTTCTCGGGGCGATGGCGCGCGCCGCCTCACCGCAGCTCGGCTCGCAGCCGCCGCTGCCGCCGCCGCCGCGCCTCCGGACGCGCTCGTCCGACGGGGTGGCGGTGAGCCCGGTCGGCGAGGCGAGCACCGCGTTTAGCTCCGAGCCGTCGAGCGAGCTCCGAGCTCAGGCAGAGGAGTCGGATTCGGATCTGGACATCGACGCTTTCTCGTCGGACGACGACTACGGCGACCTCGACTCCAACAGCGGGCGGTGAGGGCCGGCGGAGAGTCCGCGGGCCGCCCGCGAGCTGGAGCTCGAGTAGAGTCGCTTGGTCGAAGGCCCTTCCGGGTCGAGAGGACGGGGGGCCGATGCGGCGTATAAATAAATACGCTCTTCTTCTCGCAGCTGCGAGACATATGCTTTCTCGGAGCGGGGCATCCAAAACAACAGCCAACAGGGCGCGGAAGGGAGGTGGGTCCGCCATACGGCTTTACGCGCAGGCCGCAGCGCAGAGGAGGCGCAGCCGCAGGGAGTGCCCGCCCTAGGCGTAGGGGGCACACACGGTAAGCTCAAAGGGGAGTGAACAAGCGCGCCGCACAGGCGACGTGCACGCTCGCCGCCTGCGCTCGCCGCGTCGCTCTCTCCCCGCCCCTTTCTCTGCTTGAACGGGAATAAAGAGAGAGCTTCTGCGAGCCTCGCTCGGCTCCTCTCGGTCGCGATGGCCGCCAAATCCGTGTGGGGGCACCTGGCACCGCTTCGGGATTAATTCTTTCTTGGTGGTGCAAAAAGAATTTAGCAAAAATAGTCGGAATCGCCCGATTCCGCATTCGGTTCCGGATCGTCCCGATCGTCCCGCCCTAATATCTGGTAACAGCTGTTTTTAACGGAAAAGCCCCCTACAGCTACACTGGATCAGTAAAAACACTCTCAGTCTCGGACGGTTAGGAGGGTAAGACTCTGACCTGTTCCGACCTTGATCCGACTGTGATCAGACCGAAGCTGAGTACTGATTGGACATAGCCTGCTATGAAGGTTATCCTTCAACGTGAGGACTCTTACACGAGCATGCCTCGTCTCGGTATACTCGGACATTCATAGCGGCCGCCCGCTTGAGCGCGTCCCGCGCCTCGCTAGTGCTCACCGTGCCGCTCTAGCGCGCCCCTCAGCCACACATCACAAGCACCCTCCCGAGTGCCCTCGGGGCGCTGCATTGCTCGCGACGCGCCGCCGTGTGGCGCGCGACACAAACCAGAGACAGCTGCTCGGGTCGATCGAGCACGACGCCCTACTTCGCTGTATCGAGCGACCCCTCGGCGCGCCACACATGCGCTGGCCGCCTTCGCGAGGCGCCCTGCGCCTCCTCTACACGCACCGCACGCCTTCGCGTCGCGTGCCTTTGGCGAGAAGGCCGCCTGCAGCCGCAGCCGCCTCGCCGCCTCTTACACGAGCACGCCTCATCTCGGCATACTCAGAGATGCATAGCGGCCGCCCGCTCGAGCGCGCCCCGCGCCTCGCTAGGGCTCACCATGCCGCTCTAGCGCGCCCCCTCAGCCAGACAGGCACCCTCTCGAGTGCCCTCGGGGCGCTGCATCGCCCGCGACGCGCCGCCGTGTGGCGCGCGACACAACCAGAGACGGCTGCTCGGGTCGATCGAGCACGACGCCCTACTTCGCTGTATCGGGCGACCCCATGGCAGCCTCCTTCCGACGTCTTTGAGTACGCACTCCTTGGAGAAAGCGCCACCGAGCAGCAGCGTCGTGAGGCCAAACGTGGAGAGGGAAGGCGGCATAGGACCAAGTCGCCGCTGGTTTTCCCGAGAAAAAAGAAAAAATGGCGGATTCCGACTGCACTACAAGTGCTCCAAATAACAAAAATTCCTGTGTGGTGGCGGCGTGCCGTCCTCCCAACCATCGGCACACCGAGAAAAGAAATCGCTGGGCGCATCTCCGCCCGCCTCTCATGGTCTCTCTCGCATGCGTCCCGTCCACGGTGCGTGTCGTCTCTAGACCCGCCCGGACTTTTGCTATGTGCCATCCCTCTTACGTACTCCGACCAGCGAACTCTAGAGCGGCCTCTGTCGAGGCCTCTGCAACGTGTGCCAGATAGATAACTCCGCGGCAGACCCCTCCTCGCCCTCCTCGTCCTCGCCGCCGCCGCCGCCACTGCGGCCGCCGCCGCCGCCGCCGCCGCCGCCGCCGCCGGTCGCATCGCCCCCACCTCCAGCAGCGCCGCGGGAGGTGTCCGCAACGCCGCCGCCAGCGACGGTGGCGCCCGTTGGCACCAGGGCGCGCAGGCGGGCGGCGGCGGCCTGCTGCAGCGCGTCGACCTAGTCTCGGACAATCTCGGTGAGTCTCGCTCGAGCTCGGTCAATCTCGGGGCGGGCTGCTGCAGCGCGTCGAGACCTTCTCGAAGCGTATCGACGGGTGCGCCGCCCTCGCCGCCTCGACCGAGGTGTCGCTCAGGTCAACGCCGACCACCGCCTCGCCGCCGCAGATCTCCGCGGCGATGGCGCACGTCGCGCCGCGGTCACTGCCGATCTCGAGGACGAGGTCGTCCGGGCGGAGGCTGCTCGCCGCTGCCCGACGGTACCCATCCGTCTCTCGGCAGCAGCAGCAGCTGCCGGGAGGAGAAGAGGAGAGAGGAGCAGAGGAGTCCGGAGTGGAGCTGCTCTCGCCGTCTTCCGCCGCCTCTCCTACCGCCATGCCTCCCTCCGCTGCTCCTCCCTCCTCTCCACCGTCCGCCTCGCCTCCCGCCGCGGCCGGCACGAGGACAGCCTCTCCTACGCGAGGGAAGCTCTCGAGCAGAGCCTCGAGCGTCGTCGTCGCCGGCCGCTTGCCGGTGGCGGCGGAGCTGTCTGAGGCCGCCTTTGGTCGCTCCACGGCGCACTTCACTGGTGGCTCTTCACGACACGGCGCTGCGTGCTGCGGAGTAGCGTTCGGTGCGATCAGCGAGCCTATGCCTCGGCTCCGCGACAGACGCAAGTGATGGCAGAGTAGTTTCGTGAGAAGAATATAATATCGCGAGAGAACAGGGATCCCCTATAGGGCCATGGCATGGCATGGCACAAATTTATGCAATATCCGGAGTGCCGAGTGCTCCTCACTCAGGGGGGTCACAACTACCGAGTTCCTAGAGTCTAGCTGCCACGTTCAAAACCAGGACGGCGGCAGTGATGGTGCTATCACGGGAGCGGGGTGTCAGGAGACGGAACACGGAGGAGCTGTGTTAGGTCACTAGAGACCCACACCATCGCTACATCACCACAGCCACCAAGTCGGATACAAGTCGATGACAATGTGCGCGGCAGGACAAACCAAACATGAGACGGTTTTACACAAGGACGGTCAGGCTACGGTCAGGAAGTAGGTTTGAGTTCACACTCTCCAACACTCCCCCATTGTCTCCGCAGTCTTCATGAATGAGGATGCGGCAGACAACAACAGCAGAGTGTGAATGTGTCTGAGCGTAGGTATGCCGGTTACCCCACCGGCGTCTCGCGGGGCTGGCTAAGCGTCCAACCTTGCGTCTTCGCGAAGGATGGTCTTGCTTGTTGGCAAGACTTGCGCGCTAAGATGATCCAGTGAAGGGGTCAAAGCGCGGCCGAGTGGGCGGAGAGAGAGAAAGGGGAGATAATGAACAGGAGCTCGTTGTGGAGCTCGGTCATGGCGCGCCGCGAGCTGCAATCCGGGCTGAGCGTCGCGGGGCGGCGGCTTGAGCGGGCGCGGCAGGCGCGGCGGGCGCGGGAGCGGCAGCGGGGGCGCCCCCTTGCGGCGCGGCGATTGGGCCGTTGGGAGGCCTCGCCGCGTTGACGCGGATGAGCGCATCAGGGACGTGAGGACGATCTTCAATGCCCCGAACGTTGATGTTGCGCCACGGGCCGCCGACGTCGGAGATGGCAGGCTCAGTCTCAGACGTCCAGACGGCAGAGACGCTCGTAGAGGCGCATTGGACTTCTTGCCAGAGGCGTTGGACAGCAGTCTGTGCTCTGTGCCGTCAATCGGTCGCATAGGTCTGCCAGAACTTCTTGGGCGTGCCGGGGCAGGGGTGGAGGTCGGTCCACGCGCAGCCCGTCTCGCAGACAAAGGGCGGCGTGGGCGGAGGCGCGGGAGGTGCGGGCGGCGCGGACGGAGGGGACTTGGGGCAGCAGAAGTTGAAGCAGGCGGAGCCGTCGTCGTCGGGGGGGCAGTGACGAAAAGCCGGGAAAGCGAAAAAGGCTAAAGGGTCGAAAAAGCCAGACACTACTGGTGGTCCAGAAGGGAGCGCAGCTGCGCACTGTCCACTCACTCCGATGGAGCCCGATATGTATGTGTGAGACCTGAGAGCAGCGTGCAGCTGGAGCGCGTGCGTGTATGATGTAACATACGTTCAACAATGGCAGAGACGTGGGCTGACAGCGCTGCCTTCGGGGGCCCCGTGCCGGAATGAGCCGGCCACAGGCCGTGGCCCAGAGCGCTGACGCTCCGAGCCACCGCTGCACGCACGCTAGACTGCCACAATCAGATACTCCTCCTCATCCGAGTACCCGCCCATCCTACGCACGATTAGTGTTCACGCACGGATCACAGCTCTCATCTCGTTGTCGTTCAACAATGGAGGGACGTGGGCTGACTCGCTTGATGTGGTGCGTGACGGTGAGGTCAAAAGTCAGCACTGCACAGCCTTGGGTTGTCAGAGTCCAAGCATCGAGGCGTGCTGTTCCAGCATCTTTGCGGTTGTCTCCTGCCCGCACAACTTCATTACCATCTCAGTGAATTCCCCGGGGAACACTCCCAGGCAACTTTTCGCGCAGTACAGCTCTTTCGTCGTGGACCCCTCGGTCCAATTCCCGCCCAAACACCTCTTGGCCCAAAAGGAATCCTTTCCCGGTTTGCTCGACCTGCCGTAGGCGGAGCGAGCCAATCGGGAATGCGGCGTTTCCCCATCGTCTTTCGAAACCTTGTCCGCGCAAGCCCAATTATTCTTCCGGATGTAGGGAGCGGGGACGTCTTCCAAGGTCATGGAGCAATTGGTGGCCTGCGAGGGAGTTTATGGCTGGGGAGCCATCGCTAGAGCGGGCGGGGAGCGTCCACGCGGCGCGCCTTCTCCTCCGGCAGGTCCGCCTACAAAACACAGGCGCAAGGAGCTGAACCTCGCGCACGCCGACCAGAGTGGCACGGCGAACCGCTGCGGCGGGCAGGGCTCGAAGCACCACTTCATGATCAGCCGCAGCGCCGAGGGCGCGCGCCAGGTCCAAGAATCTTCTCCAAGAATCTTCCTGCGCAAGAAGGACGTGAGGACCGTGAGCTCGGCCAGCCTATGCGGCCGCAGGGTCTCTCTCGGCCAGGAAGGTATCTCAGAGGGTTCAGAGCAGGACGTGGTGCTCGGGTGGACACTCCAGTCTCCACGCCCCCAATCAGCTGCCAGCTCGACGCACGTGAGTGCTAGTGGCGAATTGAGTGCTAGTGTCGCTGCAGCAGCACCTCCCCCGCTCGAGCGGACGCGAAAGTAGCACGGAGCATGGGGGAGGGGGGGGGGGGGGGGGAGTGCACCTCGAGGAACGCCGGCTTGCCCGCGATCGCCACCATCATCACGGCTCCCGTCGCAACGGACGTGCCAACGACGGCTGCGCCGGCGAGGAGGACCTTCCACCAGGGGATCCCCTTGGGATCGATCATCGCGTACTTACCTGCCGGAAGGCGAGCCCACGCGTGCTCAGCTCTCTCCGCCTATCTGATCTAGGGGGCAGGCTGCACGTGCTCAGTCAGCTTGATGTGCGCAGCAGGGGGGGAGCGGGGACACGCTCGAGCGGGAGGAAGGGTGAGCGGGCTGGGCCCACCGTGAGGGGAAGGGGCTGGTCACTGATCTAACGGCGGCTGCGCTGTTGGACCCGCGAGATAGGCTAGTGCTACACTGATCCATCACAAGGGCCGCGCACCGAGTTAGAGACGAGGCCGACGCCGGGGGCAAAGTGGTCCGTCCTTGCGTCCGGCCGTCGGCTTTCATGATTGGCATTGATTTCCTTCCGGCTTCGTAAGTTCTTTATCGAAAAAGTCATTATTTTTGAAGAGTTAAAAGTCGAATCAGAGCGGTGTCGACATTGTCCTCCATTTTCGAATACTCTATACGGCTGCTCGACCTCTCGAGGTCGAGCCGCTCGCGAGAGCCTCGTCATATATACACAACACACACGTGCGACTCTCTGGTCTCTGCGAGCGAGAGCAGCGAGACGGACGGGACACAATACACAGAGAGCAGGGGCCTAGGTGCCGGTCGTCCTCACCTGTGCATTGTGTTTCGGACCAACAAGTTGTGCATGCAAACAGTAGCGTGACGCGCATCACTGTGCAGGCCGAGCGCCGGGCCAGCACAGCACGCGCCGGCCGCCGCCGCAGAGCGGAGCCAGACCTAGACAGCTAGACCATACGGAGACGTCCCTGTCCACCCCCAAGCGGCACGGTCCAGCAGGAGAGCGCAAGAGACGAGTCCGGCGCTCGGCGAGAGGGGCGGCTGCCCCCCCGGTATGCGCCCGTCTCCTCAGCATGTGGCGACGCTGCGGATGAGCAGCTTGGGCGCAGACACGTCGAGGTACCCTGCGGAACGGGGAGGCGACTGCTTCGGACGCAAGTCGTGCGCCAAACACCGCGCGGCGGGCGATACGCACCGCGGAAGGACTGCTCGTGCAGCGACGCCGCCGCCGCCGCCTCCGCCTGCAGTGACGCGCAGGTGTTGAGGTCAGATTGAGGCCACCAGGGTGAGGTCGGCGAGAGAGTGGGGCCGCGCTAGCGGAGGTGGTGATGAGGCAGGCAACAAGGGTGGCGGAAGGGAAGGCGGCGTCGGCGACGGTGGCGGCGGCGACGGTGGCGGCGGTGGCGGCGCTGGTGGTGGCAACGAGGACGGCGGTGGAGAGGGCAGCGGCGGAGAGGGAGCGGCGGCGAGGGCGGCGGCGGCGAAGGCAACGGCGGCGAGGGCGGAGGCGGTGACGGCTGCGGAGCCAAGGGCGGCGGCGGCGGCGGCGGCTGCGGCGAGCTCATCGGCACATTCGGCGGGAGGGTCGGCGGTGGGGCCGACGGCGGTGGGGGCGGCGGGAATCGCCGCCGCCCCGTCACGGTGGGCGGCGGTGCGGTTTGCGTGCGGTGTTGGTTGCCTCGCCGTGCGGCCACTCGCGGGCGAGGGGCGCGAGCGCGCGCCTGGCGTGCCTCGGCGGCGAGGCGCTCCGCCGCCATGAGCGCGAGGTCGACCTGATGATGAACACACGCAGGTCGGTGTGGGAATCTCGGTCTCGTGCAGTGGGCGTGTGAGTACGAAGGCAATGCATGCGGCGAGTACGGCCGCGGCTCTCTCGAATGCGGACGGGTACGTCTCATCACGGGGGCTGGTTGGAAGACAGGGATGTGTCTTCCGCGTCGAGGGATGGTCGACCTGGTCTGCACAGAGAGCGGCGTGCGTCTGCAGCTCGGACAGCAGCTCAGGGAGCTCCGGCATCTCGACCACCGCACCGCCACCGCCGCCGAGCGACTCGGCTTGAATGACCGCCCGCGACGGGAGGCCGGCGTCGGCGGCGGCGTCCCACTCCGCCGCGCACGCTTCGAGCTCGCTCACCCGTGCTCGCAGCACCGCCTCCCGGTGCTGCAACGCCTCGTTCGAGTCGGCCGCCGGCGCGGAGTGCACGCCAGCGCGCGCGAGCTCGTCCATGCAAGCGTCGAGCAGCGGCGCAGTCTCGGCCGGCAGGCTCCCGGGCGCGCTGCACACTTCGTACAGCGCAAAGAGCAGCTCTGGCGGCGCGCCGCACAGCGTCGGCCGTGCCGCCAGCGCGGCGGGAGGTGCAGGCGAGCTGGTGGCGTCAGCTGGCGGCTGCGGCACGGCGGCAAGGGTCGTGATCGGTGCCGGCGCGTGCTCCTTCTCCGGGGGGTCCGGCACGGGGGCAGCAGCGACGGCCCTCTTGGGGTTCTTGCGCCGCTTGAACTTGAAGCCGCCGTCGACCTCGCAGCCGCCCGGCGTGCTGGAGCGCTTGAGCGCCGATCGCTCCGGCTGCTGGCGGACGGCCGGGGACTTGGCGCCGGAGAGACTGCGGCGCGAACGCGTGCTGCCCGGCGCGGCGGCGAGGTCGAAGCCGACGGATTTTCTGCCCATCGGTGTGGACTCAAACGCCCTGCCTTTTCTTCTTTTTGAGAGCGCCTTCGTTGTTAATAGTACAAGCCCAAGGTCCCTGGTAGCAGCCATCACTCGCACACACACGCCGCACTGCACCGCGCGCCCGCCCGCTGCCCCGCCCAGGCGGGAAAGAGATAGGGAGATGGAACAGCCCGAAGGAGGAACACCAAACACGTCAGGGGGTCACGACACGCACCGACCCTTCACGAACCGAAAGGCTGCACCCGGGGAAGGCACAGTAATCCGGGCACGTGTTGGGCGCCCCGTTCCGTCTGGGGCTAGGTCGGCTCAGGGCCCCGTCCACTTCCCTCCCGCTTGGCGCGTGATGATGAGGAGATGCCACCCAGGCCAGCCAGGGCAGGGGCGGGGCGAGGGCGGAGGGCGGGATGGGCGCCAAGCGGGAGGGAGCGAACGGGGTGGGGCGCACAGATGGGGGATGGCGAAGGTGGGGGGGCGGGAAGGGGGGAGGGCGGCGGGAGGACGGAGGTCGGCATGGGCGGGCGGTGGGTGGTTCGGTAGGATAGGTAGATAGGTGAATGTGCCATCGAGCGTTCTCCGAGACACGAGATCTAGCACGAGATCAACGGAGGTACGGTCCTCCGCGATCCTAGCGCGCGACACTAGTAGATCATCGCGACCGCGACGGCGGGGGCGGGCGTCTCTCGCAGCAAGTACTTGCGAGCATAGTCGAGCAGGCCCGTCCCGGGCGCCACAAACTCCTCCGTCGAGATGAACCCCGAGCCGTCGTGGTCCCACCGTCGCCAGCACTCGTCGAGCGACGCGCTCAACTCAGCGTAGTTGAGCGGGAACTGCGAGACGAGCGCGAGCTCCGCCTCCCTACGCGACAGCCGCCCGTCGCCCGCCGCATCGGCGGCGGCGAACCATGCGCGAGGATTGTCTTCGATTCGCGGCATCAGCCGAATCGCAGCGCTGTCAGTGCGGCACAGGGGGCACATCAAGCCCGTGCCCGACTCGTGGTCGACAGTAGACCGCGCGTTCTCCAGCATTTCGGCACAATCTTCGTGAATGTAATGCGGGCAAGTCCTCCGCGCGCCGCGAACGAACACAGCGCAGGGCCGCAGGCACAGCCCCTCCATGCAGATGGGGCATTCGGCGACATGGCCTTCTGAGATTGTCCCGGCCAGCACGCGGCCAAGCTTGCCATCGGAGCGTGTCGAGTCGATGGGATCGGCCGGCAACGAATCGGGCACCTCCTCGTTGGGCATGCCGATTGCCGATTCGCCGCCCTCAGCTGTCCGGGCCTGCCCCTGCGCCTGCGCCTGCTGCGGCTGCGACTGGCCGAGGATCATTGCGAAGATAAGTGCGAAGGGCCATGCGCAGATGATGACTGCAACGAGCAGCGGGTCGGGCTCGAGAGGGCAACTACTGAAATCGATGAATGGCGCTTGCTCGCCTTCTGCCCAACGGATGGGACACTTCTTGCCATCCTCAACTGTCCAGCCTAACGTGCCACGCGCCCCACAATCCCAGCAATCGTGCCCATACTCACAGATTGAGTAGTCGTGGCCAGGTCCGCCGTCGTCGCAATAACCGTCCCTACTCGTGGTGACCAAGTCGCCGCCGTCCCAACAGTCGTCAGCACACACCCAATCGAGCGGCAGCGGCGGCGGCGGCATCGGCGAGGCGGAGGGCGGAAGCAGGGGTGCGAGGGTGAAGGTCGCGCTGCCGGAGAATCCGGAGTCGAGCGTGAACGTATAGCCCGCACCCTCCCACCGGTCGCCGTTCCAGCCGTCGCCGTACGAGTCGTTCATGTCGAGCGTGCACTCGCCGGGCGGCGCGGACAGGTTGCCGGAGCAGGGGGCTCCTCCACTGCCGATCAACGCGCCGCTGCACATCAGGGTCCACGACACCTCGTACTGCCAGCGGCCGCCGCCAGCCACGGTGACCTGGAACTCGATTGAGGGGGCCGCCGGAGAGACGCTTGCGGTTCGGCAACTCGCAAATGCCGAGCCCAGGATACCGATGATGGAGAAGGCAGCCAACCAGATCCAGATCCCAGTGGCGCCTCGAGTGGCCTGCAGGCGTCCCCCCAGACGGGCCCGCAGACGGGCCTGCAGACGGGCCTGCAGATCGACAGGAGCACGGTCTTCGTCCGTCCTCATGCGCGCCAAAGGTGCGATGCACTCCGGGCTGAGAGTGCGCAGCGGTGCCGCTGGCGTGCTCACCACACCCACCCATCATGCCTGCATCATTCCTGCATGGGGTGTCAGCCCCGGCGACATCAGACCACGCGTTCAGATATTGGGGTGTCAGCCCCCCCGTGTCGCGATGCACTCCCCCGGTGCCTTCCCCTGTCGGGATGCGAATTCTTTTCGACTCTTATATATCCGCCTGTGAGTGCGAGGGGGAAGACGACGCCTTCCAAGACACAGTCGGCGAAGAGGCTAGCGGAGACCCGACAAAGAGAAGAGAGAAACAGAGGCCGAGAGAGTGACGTCTAATGCGAGCGCGTCGTGTAGTAGTGGAGTGAGCGTCTTGGCTCTCGCGCTGGGCCCGTGATGTCGAGTAGAGAGAGAGAGCGAGCGACCTGTGGAGGGGCCGACGTCGAGCTAACTGCGCGCTCGGCGAAAGCCCCTCAGGTGCCTGCGCGCCGACTACCCCCCGGTGTTTTGACACCATTATTCGGTAATTCAAAAATTGATCTGCCAGTCTGAGAAATCCTAAGACTTTTTACAGTCGCGCTGCAGCTCGCGGCGGCGGATGAGATTGCGACTCCCCGTCTTTCTAGCCTGGCGTTTGTGCCCCGTTTGTGCCGCGTCCCGTGCCCCCGACGCCCGAGTTCATTAAAAAAAGAAGAAGTCGGCGAGGCGATTTATCGCGCGACGTTTGCGTGCGTTGTTGGCGTCGAATAGCCTTAAAATCTTGAACATGTGTGAACGGACAGCTAAAATCTTGCGAAAATGCGCCCCAGAGCTCTAAAATCTTGGTCTAAAATCTGAAAATCGCCGGCCTGCGGCCGGCCTCAAAAATCTTAAATTCGGCGTATCTCGGTGATCTCGCCGACGCTCTAATTCCTGTGCCATGATCCCCGCGCCGGGCAGCCTCGTCGCGCTGCGGCAAGCCGCCGCTGCTCACCAGCGTGCAGACGAGGAGAGGCTGGCCGCCGCCTTGGAGCGGGAGGCGGCGAAGGTCAGGGAGCTGGAGGAGGACCGCGAGGCTGCCGAAGAGCTGACCGATGTGGAGCAAGAACTCGAGCAGCTCCGCAGCGAGTACGCCACGCGCCGCGAACATCACAGCGCTGCGCTGCTCGCAGGATGCCGCGAATCGATCACACGCGTGCCTCGGCTCGCCGCTGTGATGACAGCCGAGCAGGCGTTGGCAGATCCCGAGCGTGTGCTGGCGTGGCTTCTCAGCGCGGCGGGCACGGCGCATCCGACAGCGCCTGCTGCGGGCTTGATTCCCCCGACACCGCCCACACCGGCCGAGGCAGCTGAGCAGGCGGAGGAGGGTTCGTGCGAAGGGGCGGCGGCGCCTTCGCGGTGCCCAGGGCTGATGGAAGAGGCGAGGCCCCCGGCCCGCGAGGCCGCCAGCTCCGACGCTCCACCCCCGAAGCGCACGCGCTACACGGAGAAGTGCTGGGGCGACGTCGTCTCGGGCGGCGCGCTGGGCTGCGAGGCGCTGCCTCCGCAGGCGCCGAGGGCCGCCTTTCGCGAGAAGTTCTGCGGGCGCTGCCGGCAGCGGGGCGTGTTTGTGCCGGCGTCGAGGGTGCGCATGCCCATCGGCGCGGGCTCCGGCGAGATCGCCAACAGCCACGGGCCCGGCTTCTGGAACGAGCCATCCCCAGCCTCGCGCTGGCCTACGCACCGCGTCGTGAACCAGACGTCCGACTGCTCGGGCCCGAGGCTCGTAATCCTTAAGGTTGAGCTTCCGGTCCCGCTGCCCGGCCTTGCCGAGGCCGCCGCGCTGTCCGCCTCCGACGGCTGGGTCGCCTTCACGGTCGGCCGCACGCTCAGGAGCAAGTTGGCTCTGCCGTCGGCCGTTGCGATTCCTCTCTCGCCGGCCCCGTCGCCCGAGCGCGACACCCCTGAGGCTCGCACCGCATCAGCCGAGGGGCGTGTCGAGGGGTTTGCGGCGGCGGCGCAGGCGGGCGAGGCGTCTGGGTCTGCGTTGGAGGCCGGCCTCGAGCCCTTCCTCGCGGAGATCTCGTTCGCTCTCGGCCCGCTCGCCGAGGCCGGCACGCCGCCGCCGCTTGGGCCCGACGAGATGACGTGGCAGTTCGGGGGCGGCAGCACCTTCGACGAGCTGCTTCTCTCTGGCTCGGCGACACCGCCGCTGCTGCAGACGCGTCCGACTCCGGAGGCAAGCGTGCCGCCGCCCTCCATGCCGCCTTCGCCGCCGGCCACAGCTGGCTTTTTCCGGCACGTGGATGTCCGCGCAACACTGTTCAGTCAGCACGCCCTCGGCGCCGCCGTCGCTTGCTCCTGCGCCGTGCACGCCCTCGCCGGCTATCGTGCCGACGCAAGCAACCAGGGCGACAGCGTAGTGGAGGTCAACATCTGGGGGCTCATGCTCACTGTCGTTCTCGCGTATGCTCTGGCCAGGGCGTACGGCAGCTATCGCAGGGCCGCGCTCACCATCACGTATGGCACCACCGTGGCATCGATCGTTACCCTCCTCTTTGATGCGCTCCGGCCCGTGGAAGGAACGACTGCAGCTCTGGGGCTAGCCGCGTTTGCCGACGCGCCCGTCTCTGCGGTCGGCTGCCAGTTCGCCTACGGCCTCCTCCTCGGCGTGCAGCCACTCAACACCTCGGTACGAAGCAAGAACCTCTGCGCCACAATTGGCATCTGGGCGACCAATCTGGCCAGTATGCTCCTCCGCACGGGGGACGCGGCATTCCTAAGCGTGCTGCTCGCACGCACCGCTCTGCCACTATCGGCTGGCTTTTCGGCCGGCGTGGGGTATACGAGGTGGAAGCGGGCTGCTGCTGCAGCCGATCCTGAGGCCCGCAGCCTGCTCGAGCCACCTTCGCCTCCGCCTGCTCCGCCCGGGCCTTCGGGCGGCCCCTCGAGCGACCCACGACCCGATGTCGAGCAGGCGGCGCCCAGGCACCGAATCACCCAGGAGGAGCGGGTGATGATCTCGCGTCAGGAGGCGGCCTTGCGTGCGACGCAGATCGATCCGGCAGGCTTCCTCTCTAGGTCGGTCACTAAACTGCTGGAGTGCTTGACAATGGAGGACTCGGAGAAGGATAGAACACACACAAAGGAAACGCGTTGATCGTTGTGTTTTTGGACGTGCCGGGAGGCACGATGTCAGACATGACAACATGCTGCACATGTGTTACATATTGTGCCTTTGCGCTTTAACCCTGTTCCTGAGAATAAATACATAAAAATAAAAACGGACACCAGCTCTCTACTGTGAGAACTGAGATGACCCGCCCACTCGAGTGCGGCGCCCAGATGCTAGTGCTTGAGAGGATACCACAAACGCGGCACGGCCCGTTTTGGCTGTCTGCGGAGATTCTGTCTTAGCACACACAGTGAGTCATTCGGAGTCATTCGATGGCCAGAGTGCGATTGTGGGGGGAGATTTTTAGCAATACCAAACAACTCTAACACTCACACGTTTTGTCGATTGTGTGTGTGCGGGAGTTGGTTTGTCGGGAGGGAGGGGCAGGCTGCTCACCCACGTGCACCGGGCCAGTGCTTGCACTTTGAATGCCGCGGGGCTCCTGCCCGTGTCCGGGTGTGGAGATGCGAGGCCAGCGAGGGTCGCCCCCCCTTGCCCCACCACTTTGTGTGTGTGGAGAAATTTACCTTACCTTACCTTACCTGGGTAAAAAGGAACAGGTCCCCGCCCGTGCGATCTTTGTGCAGTCTGTTCCTGAAGAGTGCCGGTTGGCAAAACAATAAGAATAACGGCGGCGCACAGCTCAAGGTGACTGTGCGCTTCTGCGCGGGGACCACCCCGGCGGCGGGACGGCGGCCGACCGTACCCTCGGCAGGCAAGCGGCGTACGATGCCACCTCCGGCTGGAGGGCGGCACAGAGGAACCTCGCCTGGGGGCGGGGGCCCCCGCCCAAGTGCTCCAAGTTTGCAGAGAGTTTGTCACGCTGCTTTTTCGTTTTTATGTGTGGGTGGTTGTACCTGTGTTAGTGCCAGTGTGTACGTACGTACTTTTAGCTTACTGGGAGAAAAGAGAGAGGGGGGTGTGTTCTCTAGGCCCCTAAGGGCCCTACGCGCGGCGTGAGAGCTCGGAAGCGAGCTTTGCACGGCGATCGAGGATGGCACGGTTCACCCCCTTCACCGAAGCGATGGAGATGCGTTCCGCGTGGTGTGACACAAATGAGAGGCGGGAGTGGGGAGGGTACGCGTCTCACACAAAAAACAATAAGACGCACAAGCACAGACGGCTGTCAGCGTGTCTAGGGGTCGTCTCTAGGCTGGTTGGCCTTGATTTGGATCAAAGATGGCCGCAAGAAACGGTCGCGATGCCTCGTGTGAACGCTGTGAAGAGTGACTTCTCGAAGTCACTCGGTCCATGGAGACACAACACCAGCAATGGCCTCCTCTCGGGAGAGGGAGCCAGCTCTCGTCAACTGCCTCATGCTTGTCCGCTGGCCGCAGCGGCGCGAGATGGTCCAGGCGGCGGTCGCCTCGTTTGTCGCGCAGGACCACCCGAACCGGACGCTGACGGTGGTCAACGACGGCGCACCCTGTGCCCTCTCGGCAGCCTTCTTCGGGTGCGGCGTGGGCGGCCGGGTGCTCCAGATGCCGTCGCCCGCGACCCTCGGCGAAAAGCGCAACGCGGGCGTCGCGGCGGTGCCCGAGGCCGCCTACTCGGCGTCGTTCGACGACGACGACGTCTCCCTGCCCGAGCGGCTCAGCGCCAACCTGCGAGCCATGCGGTCCAGGCGGCCGCCGGCCGCCTTCCTCTCGGCCTCGCGCAAATACATCGCCATCGGCGCCATCGACAACATCGTCGGATTCGAGCTCGGTCGCTGCTACGGCGCGGGCATGGTGGCAGCCGACGTCACCGACGCGCTGCGCTGGCCGAGCCAGGACTGCTTCGAGGACCACTCACTCTACGAGGCGGTGGTGTCGCACGCGGAGCTGCGCTCACGCGTCGCCGAGGCGGACGAGCTGCTGTACGTGCACCGGCGCCACGCGTCCAACGTGACGGCGCCGCACCGCAAGGACATGTGGCAGGGCGTGCTGCCGCTGCAGCTAGCGGGGCCGAGCGCGACCGCGGCGCCGGAGAGGGTGCGTGCAATGCTGCAGCGGCACGCGGGCGTCGCCTTTCTCGTCGACAGCGAGGCGGGTGGCGAGAGCACCGGGGCGACGTGAGGAGGCGCTGCGAGGTTGGATTGAGGTTTTGGGCTTTGTGCCACAGAGAGTATTATGTGTGTGATGACTGATGTGTGTGCGTGCAGGCTGCAGGGGTCGTAGATCGACTTTTCTCGCAGGAGGCGACGACCCGCGCCCGTACGTTGCCCCGTGCCGGCTCAGTCCCGCATGACACAGGCACGGTGGACACACACAGACCACAGAGTCACACACCGTGCTGTCTGCTGACACGTGTGCCCTACGTAGCGCGGAAAGCCGTATTTATTACCCGCGGAACGTGGACGGCGCTGACGGTGAGGGTTGCAGCTTCGCGCAACGGAGGCATCTCGTTCGCACCGCCCCTGCCACCAGTGCCACAAAACTAACGAGCAAGGGCTCAGAGGTTTCGCTCGAGACGACGTGTTTTCGCGCTCTCACCGGGCTCTCCGCGGGGGGCGGGGAGATCGCAGCGGGTCCCGAGGCCCAACGGGTCCACGCCCTTCTACTTTGCCGAGAAGCCGCCGTACACGACGTTGATCGACTCGGGGTCAATCCTGTGGACCACCTGTGAGGACATTCACAGAAGGGTGGCCAGCAGGCGGTGAATGGAAAGCCGTGGGAACGGTGCCAGTCAGAGCCCACCGAAGTTGCGAGCGGGGGCACGGCCTCTAGGAGCGTGTGCGTGCGTGCGTGCGTGCGTGCGTGCGTGCGTGCGTGCGTGCGCGCGTGCGTGCGTGCGTGTGCGTGTGTGTGTGTGTGAGCTCACGCACCTCTCCCACGGCGGTCCGGCCCACTTGAAGCGTGAGCCCGACGGCGCCGCAGTTGACAATCTTGCGCTTCTTGCCGGGGTGGTCGCTGTCGCGCGGCAGGTAGAGCTGGAAGAAGGAGCGGAACCTGTCCAGCAGTGCTCCGAAGGAGTGATTGGTAGTTGATGCACGGTGGAGCTGGGAGACAAGCTGCGGCGCCAGAGCGAGTGCCCGCCCACCACCACCACCGGCTCTTGCCTAGCCTCAAAGAGCTGGTGCTGGAGGGGAGAGGCAGGGTGCCCAGAGGCCACGCAAGGGCCTCCGGCTCTGCCTGGCGGCCGCCCACTGCGCAAAGTCCTGCGGGGCGCGACGGGCAACCACGTGCGGGAGATGTGGCGGGAGGTGTGGCGTCTCGCTCGGGAGATGAGATTTCCGCGGAACACGGGAAGGGGGGGGGGGGGGGGACAGCCCCGCTGGCTGCGCGTCTGACTCGAGGGGTGCCCTCTTCCCTCCCAAAATAACTCGGGGGCAGGCGGCGGCTCTGCCTCTTTTTCTTTTTTTTAAGGGTCTGTGCCGGTTTCGGGTTACTTGAAGGGGTTAACTTTCTTTTTCTTCCTTTTGTGCTCTCATTTTGGCGTTTGTTTCAGTTATCAGGGTTTTCTTTTTTTATTG